TCGGTCCCCGAGGGCGATGTCCATAGTAGGACCCCCGTCTCGGACGGCGCAAAATGTCGATTTTCTCGGCGAGCGCGAGAATCTCGTTGAAGTTTGAGAGCCCGCGTAGCATGATCTCGTGCGAGATGTCTGGCTTCAGCCCTCCGACGTAACGGTCCACCCGCTCCGCCTCGTGCATGTAGCCGACTTGCTCGCATAATGCGAGAAAACCGCTCGTGTAGTCTTGAACCGACCCGAGCTGCCGCCAAGTACGCAGTCTCTGACGCGCCGAAATAGAAGCCGCGATCGGCTCGAAGCGCGCCCGAAGCCCTGCGCACCACGCATCCCACATGCTGTACTGGGCGGTTTCGCAAAAATGATATTTTTTTAAAGTGTATTCACTTTCTAAAATTTTGTATTGTGATACTGAAGCGATTGCCAACGCAGCAAAGGCAGCGTCGCATCGCTACTCGCCCTCTTTTGGCTACAAAAGAGGGGTTGGAGGCCATTTGGCCTCACCCACGTTCTTCTTTTCAGATTTTTAGTTTGGCCACACCCAGATGAAATGAAGCACGATGCCTATTACAAGTTGCAATAAGCAAGCTTTCACAATTGAACTCCAGGTGACGGCTGGACCCGTTGGCCCTTCCTCTTGCGACGGTGGCTCGTAGGCGTGTGGCGACATCACGATGACTCACCACTAGTCCATGGCGGGGCCCCTCAGCAGCGAGACGGCGTATCTGATCTTCGCTGCGTCTGACTCTGTCAACGGGAGTTGTTGTTGGCCCCGTCCTCGCTTGGGCGGAGCCGACTTCGTGGTTGGGTGTACGGGAGGTACAGCCGACTTGTAGCAGTGGGCGACGCCGACTTGGGCGAGCTGGTCGACGGGGTTGGTCGACTTGGGAAGGCGGCGGCCGACTTCAACTGGTGGTCGGCGATGTGGCACGTTGACCTGGAAGTCGTCACCGACTTGCAGGTCACCGACTTGTAAGGTCGCCGACTTGCAATGTCACTGACTTGCAAGGTCACCGACTTGCAAGGTCACCGACTTGCAAGGTCGCCGACTTGCAAGGTCGCCGACTTGGGAGGTCGTCGACTTCAAGAGGTCGGTCTGGAAATCGGCGCCGACGTAGAAGGGGCGTCGACTTGGTGACGCCGACTTCGGGTAGCCGACTTGGGTGGTCGGCTGACGACTGTGCTGGTCGACGTGGAGCTGGTCGACCAGGAGTGACGTCGACCTGGAGCTGGCCCACCACGGGAGTGGTCGACCTGGTGAGGTCGACTTGGGGTGGTCGTCGACTTGGGAGGTCGACGGGCACATACAGGAGCAGCTGGTCAACGTGGTTGCCCGGTCGACCAGGTTACCTGGGTGACGAGGTTCTGCGGAGGAGTGCGACGGTCGCCCAGGCGAAGTTGGCGAGTCCGACCTCGGTGGTGGTATCCCGAGGTCGACCTGGCTGATCAGATGCAGTCGTCAGCGCCAGGTTGACTTGGTGTGTGCGCTGTGCAGGTGACAAGGCTCAGCGCGCCAATCATCTGCGTGCACCTGCGAAGCTGGTGCGATGCTGTACTACGGTAGCTACGCTGGCACGCCGTCAACCTGCAGTGTTGGCACGACGTCGACTTTGCACCGCTGGAGCGTGGTCGACCTAGTCTTGCTGGTACGCGGTCGACCATGCTACGCTGGCAGTCGACCGACCTGAATGTTAGCTCTGATGTAGTCTTGCCATGCCCACTTTATTGTACCATTGTTGTCAACTTTCTCTAGTGAAACTCTTGCCAACTTGCCCCGTGAACTAGCAAGCTGTGTGTGCACTAGGAAAACGACTAAGGACCGACGAACGCAGAGATCACACGAGCACCCGTGCCTAGCCCGTTGTCTAGCTCCCATTGTAGTAGTTATCTCCGCAGACTCGACGTAGTTTGCGTCGAAAAATACGTTCATCGTGAAGACCCGCGACTGAACCGTCGGACCTCCACGCTGACTTGGGTCGAAACAGGGCGGGCGCTGCGGCTTGAGTGGCATTGGTGCCATGATGGCCTGGTCGCCACTTATCGCCGCGAACTCCACGTGCCGACGGGCTTCACGAGACTCCCGCGGGCTTAGCGCGACCCTGTTTCTCCCCATGCTCGGCATCGGTTGGGCGGCGCCTGAGCGCTGTCCCACGCTGTCGTTCTGTATTGGTGTGCCTGATGAAATGACGATCGACTCCTCCGATTGTGCAGGTGCATTTGCAAGTGCGTGTGGTGGCGCCGGAGTACTCACCGTGGAATGCTGACGCGCGGAGTCACGTTCCGCCGTGAGCGTCGCAATTTCGAGCGCCGATTCTTCAACTTGGCGCACGAGACGGTCGAGTTGCTCCTGCGTCAGTATCGCGAGAGTAAATTCGGCCATGGCGGGGGTGTCGGGCAAGCTCAGCGAGAGCCTCTGTCGTGGCCGTGCGTGCTTACGAGAGAGCACTACGAGCGGCGGTGCTGTGTCGCTGAGAGACGTCTACCCCCCCAAAAAAATTGAGATAGTGGGGAAGCGAAGGTGTGGGTGCGGTCCGAGAAGAGATCGTAGGCTCTGAATATCAACTGTTACGAGTGCAATTGAGTGATCGAGCGAGCAAGAGTACAATGAGCGAAGGCATGAGCGAAGAATATATAGCGAAACTACAGTGATAACGGTAATGGACTGTGGTTGTCGCGTGACGGGCCTGGGACTGAGGTTTGGGGAAATGTCGAAGCGGAGGCCCGGAGCGCGGGTTACCCGCCGAGCCGTGAGGGCGGGGTGCGACGTGCGAAGGTGGCGGGAGGATTGTCGATGCGAGGGTTGCGAGTGGTAACGGTGCCAACTCTGGTGCTACAGTGGTGTACGCGCTGAGCGGGGACGCGAAGTAAGGAAAAGGAATTTTCCTTACAGCCATGCAAGACCTCTTTGACCACCACACTGCCTTCTTTGGAGGAAGACTACAACACAACTTTCCCATGTTGTCCCCTCAAAAGCTGCTCTTGTTATAGTGATGCGTTTCCATCTCTTTCTCCTAAATATGCTTTCTTGCATTGGACACCAACTATTGGGGCGGGGCCTTGGGAAATGTTCAGGCTGGCTTGGACATGAGCATCACCAGGCAACCAGTATTGCAAGGTGCATCCAGCCACTCATATGGTGCCTCAATTAGAGAGAGAAATGAAGAACCAATCTTCATATCACGGTGTTCAGCAGGTGTTCTTCATCTCACACCTGAGTCCTGACCAGGCCTCTCGTTATCAGGGTAAAATACCCTTTTTGCACTACTGGCGGTCGCTTTTTTTCAGTTACCCTTTCACAGGCAGGGTAGTGGATTTTTTACCCTAGGCCAGAAAGTGTAAGTTTTTCAATACCCTTTGAAAAACAGCATAAGGAACACATTACACTGACTGTACAGTCTACAATTCCAGCAACACTGGTACCTAGCGCTCCGTAGCGAGACGAAACACTAAACAGTGTCAGAATCCCAACCACTAGACCATTGGGGTCAAAGGGCTTGTTTGTATAGCGCGTGAGTGCGCCCATAACCCCCCAGGCCGACGTGCCTGTAACCCTTCCCTAGGATCAATCGGGGATCACCAGTGGACTTCTGACAAACAGGCCCCTGCAAAACAGTCCCCTACAGCGAGATTCGAATCTGCAACCTTTCAGATGTAATGCGTAATCGAACCAGCTAAATCACTAACTATTGAACCTGAGTACTTTTGCATCATTCATATACAAACAGGTTTTAAAATACCCTGCCCGAACAGGCTAACTGTTTTTTTTGTTACGAATAGTGGTTAGTGAAAAATACTATTGGTCACTCCTCACCGTAGCAAAGCCGAAGCACGCAGTATCGAGAGTGAATACGAAAAGGCAGAAGTAATGCGAAGGGTTCGACGGTTACGAAGAGCATCTGGACCGTCGGGCAGACAACATCAGGCAGCAGCAGTGGCGAGGATTCTGCCTGAACAGTTCCGTAACCACCCGGAGTCGCACGGTTGGATTTCGCTGTAATAAGGGAATGTACCCCTTAGAGTACATGGCTAGCTAGGTCGTTTCATATTCCCTTGTACTCTTATTTATATTCCTTGTACTGCATGTTTTTATCATCTCAAGCATTTACCGGTACATTCACTCTGCTATTGAGGTCAAGGGCCCACCACCGCTAGTTTAGAAGTGTGCGAACCTTCCTGAGGTGATCCTGGATACGACCAGCTACTGATCGCAACATTTTTACCCTGCATTTGTCAGGGAAAAACAAAATTTACCCAACGCATCAGGGTTGATTATACCTAGAACCCTGATTAATAAGGGTGGCCCAAAACGAATCTGAAGCCCTGGTCCTGACCCTAATGCTCATGTGCTTGACAAATACGTATATTGTGAAAGCGATCTTACAGTCCTCTTGCAAAGGCAGCGTGCTTCATTCCAAATGGGTAGTACATCGTTCTCGTCCATAACAATGATACACAATGGGGTGGGTGGCGGGAAAGTAGAACTATAATTAGAAATGAAGAACGTGGGTGAGGCGAATAGCCTCACGTCCCTCTTTTGTAGACGAAAAGAGGGGTGAGTAGCGTCGCACCGCTTCCTTTGCTGCGCTGGCCACGTCATCGCTTTCACAATATGAAATTTTAGGAAGTACACTTTCAAAAATTATAATGTGCATGCACTTGACAACCAGATGCAGCCAGCACTTCCCTCTTGTAGTGGGAGAGAGTATGGTATGGCGCCCCGTCCCACTCACTCCCTGCGGGAGCCATTTCCTGGAATCTTCCGCACCAGATGTCAATATTATGTACGTATGAATGAATGAGCCAACAAGATTCCCAGCCTCTGGATTTTGTTTTCAATGAATTCGACTGTCTACCATTCAGTCAGCCAGTTCAGATTCTCCTTCTCAGGCCTACAGTATCACATACGGTATCCTGTATTTGACTAAAACGCAACTATCTACACTGTTACAATACACGTACCGGTACTCTGCAATCCAGTTGATGACTTCTTGCACATTGTTACACTGTTACACCTGGAAGTCCCAATGAAACAAGCCGTGCCTCTGGCCGGCAAGAAATGACCTATCTATTGCCCTTCCATCATCCCACTCTGCTGCGCCGCCTGAGCTGTACGCAAAATCGCCGCTGCCCCAAGCATCACTGCCACTGCCACTGCCACTAGGACTGCCAGTACTAACAGTGCTGAAGCTGCCATTGTGACTGGAGCGACTGCTGCTGCTGCTTTCACTCCTGCCTAACCTCACCGTCTTCTCACCATTCTCCCACCCCTGAGTCCCACCTGCTGCGTCACCCAGCCTGCTCCCAACACCATTCAGCTTCAGGTTCTCTTCACTGGACAGCAGATCTCCGTGCGAAGGGAGTTTAGAGGCAGCCGGCCAAGCTGATGCCACTGCAGGCAGCTGGCTTCCAAGCGACCCTGCTTCACCTGTTGCTGCCCATCCATCCTCCCTGCTCCGCACAACTTGGTCCCCACAACCAGGAAGCCCACTAGTGGCCCTGCCACAACCAATTTGAAGGCCATTTTGAAAGGAGCTACGACCCCTTTCTCCCTGCATTCCTTGCTCATCTCCCTTGCGCATACCATCACCATCATCATCACCATCACGGCCATCACCGCCACCAGCAACACCATCGTTGTCGTCACCATCGTCGTGCTCCTCTTCCTTCCTCTCCTCCTCCTCCTCCTCCTCCTCCTCCTCCTCCTCCTCCTCCTCCTCCTCCTCCTCCTCCTCCTCCTCCTCCTCCTCCTCCTCCTCCTCCTCCTCCTCCTCCTCCTCCTCCTCCTCCTCCTCCTCCTCTTCCTCATTGTCTCCTTCACTGTCATCCTCCATCCCCTCATCCTCACCTGCACCCTTTCTCCCTTTCCCACCCTCCCCGCCCTGCAGCGACACCACCACCAGTCGCTCAGCAAGCTCTCTGAAACGCCCTGCCTGCTCCTCCATACCCTCTGTCGCGTACGCTGCAGCTACCTCCATCATCATCTCCCTCACCATGCCTTCATCTCCCTCTCCCTCTTCACCATCCCTGCTCTCCTCTCCCTCACCCAAACCCCGTCCCCACACCTCGCCACGCCCACCCCTGCCGTCCCCACCCCCTTCACCCCTCCCTCTCGTCCCATCACCCTCCTCCTCGCCCACCTTCAACCCCACCTCCACCCCTCGCATCTCCTCCACTAGCCCAGTGGAGAGGAACGCAGCAACAGCAGCCTCCATGACTCCGATTTTGCGAGCGCGCGCACACGGTACGACAAGCGCATGGAAGGAGGCGAGGGAGGGAGTAACGCCTGCCTCGACCATCGCTGCAAAGACGTCCACCACACGCCCCACTGCCCTGCACCGCCCGAATGCCCGCATTGCTGCTCTGTACAGCTCCTCTCCTGCCTGCAACCCCTGCCCCCGCCGCAACCACTGCTGGTTCGGGTCGGCCTTGAGAGGAAAGGAGGAGTGCTGCTGCTGCACGGACGCTGCAGTAGCTGCACCTGCAGCCGCAGCCGCAGCAGGTGCAGGTACACCATCAAAAGCAGAAGCGGAAGCGGAAGCAGTGGCAGGAGGGGCGAGGAGAGACCAGAGGTGTTCAATGCGGTGCAGCTGGCGGCGCTGGGCGAGGTGCGAGAGCAGCAGCGTGAAGGTGGCTGTGTCTGGGTGGCCCCCACCCGCCATCACCTCCTCAAACTTCCTCCACATGCCGTTCTGCTCACAGGGACCAGACGAGCGTAGCACCGAACCCAGGTGCAGAGAGGGAGAGGAGAAAAGCCAAGGGGGTTGTGAGGGTGAGACGTGAAGTTGGGGTACATGTGAAGTTGAGCGAACGCATGGGTTTGTTCTGCGTGGGGTGTACTTGAACGCCTTCCACACACATGCGTGTGATGTGACCGAGCAACGACAACCGTTCGGCCACGCATGAGAACCTACTCGCGGCTCAATGCCCCCATGCTCACACCAGTTCCTTGCACCATATTCCAAGTTCCCCTCCCCCCCTCCCTCGCACCATGTCGTTGCGTGCAGCATATGCTGCCAGGGCAGAGTTCCAAGTGGCCGTTGAGACCACCCATCCGCGCTCCTGCATGGCTTCGAATGCGCCCTCCATCCTCCCCACCGCGCCCACCTCTCCCAGACACTCTATCAGCACTGAGAGTGTCGCACGGGTTGGTGGCGGCAGCGAATCGTCCGCCGCCATCTGGCGGTGGATGGAGAGCAGGCGCGATGCGCTGCGGTGGCGCGCGTATGCTGACATGGCGGCCAGGTATGTGGCCTGCGGGGGATGCAGTGGCGAGAGGGGTATAGGTGAGGTGAGGTGAGAGGCCTAAGGCCGAGGCCAGGCAACGATATGGCATGCGGGGATGCCTTGAGACAGCGCACGCCAGTCCCTGCGCTTGCACCAAAGGTGAGGCGAAATTCCAACATGAGATCATGGCGACACATGCAGGACAGCCGGGAGACAAAGTGGGTACAACAGTATCAACGACAAAACAGCTCTCCTTTTCTCCCCTTCACTCCCTCAATCCTTTCCCTTTGCTCCCTCATCCTTCTCCACTGAATTCCCTCCCACCAATCTCACACCCCATCCCCTTTACACCCGTTTCTTCCCATCCCCCAAACACGCTCCACAATCAATGCACGCACGTGTGTGCGGGCGATGCCGAGCAGCGTCATCTGGTGCCACAGCTGCTCCATGCCTGCCAGTCGCCCGCTCTGCCCCAGCGCGTCCAGCAGAATGTTGAACGACACTGCAGTGGGGCCGCACCCCTCTCCCAGCACCACCCGCACCTCCTCCTCACCGCCCCCCCTGCTGCTGCTCCTCTCTCCTCCTCGCACGCCCTTGCCTACTCTTCCCGTCCTGCCTTTCTCGTAGCCGGTCAGAGGAAACCGGAACTCCACTCTCACAGCCCTTCTGCTGCTGCTGCTGCTGCTGCTGCTGCTGCTGCTGCTGCTGGTGTCGGCTGTGCGTGCTGCTGCTCGCCTCTCCTCCTCCTGCATCTGCTGCTCCCGGCGCTGCACCGCCACCATGCACGCCAGCAGTCGCATGGCCGCATCAAGCAGCATCTCATTCCCCTCTACCCCCTTCTCCCTCCTCTTACTCTCGCCCCTCCTCCCTCTCCTCCCTTCATCCTCTCCCGTCCCAACACCCCGAGAATCCTCCGCGCCCCTTTCCGGTTTGCCAACACGCCCCTTAAGATCCCCGCCTCTCCCTGCCGACCTCCCATCCCCATAAGAACCATCGTCACGTGAAGTAGCAGCAGCAGCAGCAGCAGCAGCGCGGGGAGGGGCGGGCAGCAGAGCAGCAGCACAGAGCGCTTTGAGCAGGGAGTTACAGACAGAGGCAGAGGGGGGCACGCCCACTAGCTGCATCTCGTCCAACAGCCGCCACACCGGCACCACCACTGCCGCCACCCCATCCGCCCCTGCACCCCCTGCAACCCCACCCTCCCCGTCGCCGCCGCCGCCCCGCACCCCTCCTCCTCTCACCTGCCCTCCTGCTCTACCATCCTCCTCCCCTCGTCTCCTCCTTCCAACCGCCTGCTCCTCCTCTTCCTCACCCCCCTCGTCTCCATCCTCTGGTGGAAACTCGCCATTCCGTACCCCGCTTACCATCCCTACCACACCCCCTCGCTCCCGCTCCTCCCCCCGCGCCCCTCTCAACTGCTCCCTTCCGTCTCTGACCCACACACGTCCCTGCCCTGGCAGTACGCGTGAGTTTCGCCCCGCCCCACCCTGCCCTGTGCCTGCCTGGCGGCGCTGCAGCTGGCGCAGGCGAGACTTGGTGAGCAGTGCGATCATCTTGGCATGCCACATGGGGTGCGGGCGGAACCACACTCGCCCCTTCACAAACTCAAACACCTGCTCAGCCGCACACACCAGCAGTAGGGGCAGGCATGTAAAATAAAATTACCCTTGAGAGTTGTCAACACGGCAGTGGTGGCGGCGCTGGTGGCTGGCCGGGCGCACACGCAGGCACGTGCAAGAGGAACGGAGATTGGGTTTCGCGAGGAGAGAAACAGATCGGGAGGCGGGTGGAAAGGAGGAAAGATGGAAGGAGAAGAAGCGCAGCAGTGCAAGGAGGCGAGAAAGAGGGTGGCAATTGCGAAGGGTGTGAAGGAACGATGACAAGTTTGAGGGAAAGATGACAAAGAGGACAGCATGGGCCTATCCTCCTCTCTGCCGCCCTATGACCCCTGCACTGCAGCAGCGCTCGCTCACCTCCTTGGTTCTGGCCCATGGTGACCGGGCGGCCACGTGGGAGAGCAGTGACAGCCACATTACACGAGTGCTGCCAAACGACGCCGCCTCCGCCGCTCTCAGCACGGCAATGCGCCCCCGCGCGTCCCGCTGCTGCCGCAGCAGCAGCGCCACCTGCAGAACCGCCTTTTCTTCCTGCTCTCCCCGCCCCTCCCCCCGCTCCGCCCTCTCCCCCCTCCTGCCCCGTCCGTCGCCCTCTGCCCCGCTGTCTCTCCCCTCCTGCGTCTGTTCCGCCTCCGCCCATCCCCCCCAGGCTCTTCCCCCGTCTGTGCCCGCCAGCCCTGCCTCCCCGGCGGGCTCCGCGCTGCTCGAGGGCGCGCGCATGCTCTGCGCGCGCGCCTCCCCCGCCTCGCGCGCGCGCCAGCTACTGCCACCGTCCGGCCCTGCCCACCGTTGCTCACGGCTAGAGCTTAGCGCAGAAGCATTGGGAGCAGCGGCGGCAGAACCAGCAGCACCAGTATCAGAATCAGACTCAGAATCGGAATCCAAAGCAGCAGCAAACGCAGAGTCATCGGGAATGTACGGAGAGCCATCCGCAGCGAACCAGCCCCCCCCATTCCGTGGCCGCCCAGCCCCAACCGCGCGCCGCCTGCTCCCAGCGTGGATCCCGCCGGAACGCGCCTCGAAATTGCGCGGAGTGGGGGGAACCCAGAGGCGCTCCGAGTCCATGTGCGATCCCACGTCCGCGCTGCGATCCGCCTGCCTCCTACTGCTCCCCCGACCGCGCCTCCCGCCGTTGGAACCCCTTCCCCTCCCTGCCCCGTCGCTCCGCCGGCTCTCCGCTCTACCGGCGCTTCCTCCCGTGCCTTCCCTTCGCCCCTTATCATCCGACCATGATGTCCGCTCGTCTCTCCGCTCTTCTTCCCCTCTCCACCCGCTCGATCCCCGCGCCCGTGACTCTCCTTCAGTCCACTCCGCCGCGTCCGGTGCGCGCCCATCCTTCCCGCCACCTCGACCCCCCGTTCCGCCCCTGCCCCGCCGTCTAGCCCCGCTGGTCAACGATCGTCTCTCCTCCTGTCGCCTGCGGGCACGCGACTCGTCTCCTTCGCCGACTTCCCCGCCCGCCTCCCTTCCCTCCTCAGCCCTTCCTCCTGCCCGACCGCCCAACGCAATCTCTTCCCCCCGCGATCGTCGCGGGCTCGCCCGTACCCGCCGCGAGTTCCCGCCAGGCCGCGGCGCCTCGCCATCGCTTGCATCGCTGCCGCTGTCGCGAGCGTCATTGCTCCACGCCGTTTCGCGAATTTCGTCTCTCGTCGAGCCGCGCGCGCCGGGGCTTGCTTGCGCAGCTGCTGCTCCCCGATCACGTTCTCGGGAAAAGGCGACTCGATCGGGTGATGCGCAGCAGAGAGCGGCGGCCTGGGTCGCACTGCCGTAATTGGCGGCATTTGCGAAGCTGGTACTGCCGGGGGCGTGACATGAACGGCACGAGGCGAGGAGTAAAGGGAAGGCGGATTGCGATACCACGGCAAGGGGCATGCTGTGAGTGACGAGACGGCAATGGCCTCTTCGACTTTTGCTAAGACGCAATGACTACCTTCTTCCCTGCTCCTAACCTCGCTTAGCACCCGACCCGACATGCAAGCTTGGGTTGACGAGGAAGACATCCAGAATGTACACCTGCTGTCCAACCTAGTCACGTCGCTTTAGATGTTGCCTTACTATGTGTATTTGAACGGAATTATGTCTACCTATGTGAGATTCTCTTTTAGAATTATAAAAAAGTGCGCAAATGCGAGTCGCCAGTGACAAAGGCACATCACTCTGAGACCCCCCTGGGTGGCAGTGGAGTGTGATACATGGAGTCCTGGTTTGTTTCTTATAATGTGCGGCTAACATGGTAGGCGCGGTATATGTTAAGAGCTGTGTTTATGGACAAACGATTAAAATGCCATAGAATGGCCGTAATATTATGAGGGCAAGAGAAAGGGGAGGAGTGGGGGGAGGGTAGGGGGGAGGTTCTCATAATATTTTCATCACAGAACAAGGTATAGCCCTAAATGTACCAAAATATAATGACCACCCCCGTATTATAGTCATGAAGGTCTATCACTTAGAAGTCATTTATCTGGGGAACTACGGCAGTATGCTTCGAGAGCAGAAGTGTGAGATGTTTTTTTTTTTTTAAGAGTACGAAGGTATAACGATGCAACGGTGATACAATGAAGGACCAAACAATTTGGCTAGGTCAGAAAATATAAATTGTTCAAAGGCGATGCAAGATATACGTACTTACAAGTTGGGATTGTATACATTGACCTGGTTCTTATTACGATACCATACAAACTACACAATGAAAAAAGAAAACTAGAAGAGAGAGGATAATTATTTCAAAAGTTGTTGCGTCATGGCCAACCGTGCAAAAATGGTGAGATAGAAGTCCCTCTAGAAAAATAAGGTGGGAAAGCGGGTGCCCAAATCAAATGACATGATCATGAACGAATAAAAATCATAAGCTCACAAAACTATCGTACCGTATAGGTCATATCTGCTCATGGGGCGGCCCATCCGTCCTCCTGCAGCAGATCTTCTCATGTAGCTTCCAGAGTGTTTGCATCATCCATCATGAGCACTTCATTTAAGAAAATAACTTACAATAAAAAACGCCGCAGAGAGACTACAACAACTTCTAGCAAAATGAAATATAAAAGGGAGCCCATTTTGGTAGTGTAAATATAATGTTTTTGGGCGTAGAGAGTAGATTTAAACATTTTGATACATTGTTATGTGTTTTGTCTTGGCGTATACGCCAGATAGATTTACGGTCAAACGTATCACGTAAAAAAAACATATTTGAAGAGCAAAGAATATGTCATAACGTCAAAATAAAAGGCACCTATTTACGCACATACATACCACAATCTCTAAAGTTTGTGGTATGCAGAAAGTATAAGCGCACACTTAATAAGCTATAGCTGCAAAAATTAAAAGATTTTTTATATATTTCTCAGTAAAATATATTTACGTTATCAAAAATATCAATATTTTTACTTGCAGTCACATTTTTGTTTTTTTTTGTGATGACAACGACAAAGGCAGACAAAATGGGTATGCGTGCCCATCAACTTATGTGGCGTTGATGATAATCTATTGCACAGTGATACATATGATGCTCAACCACCGCCCGCGAATTTGCCCTGCCCATATTCGATTCCCTGCCCACGAACAATGGTGCCGAGAAGTTGCATCCAGTTTACAAGCCCACCCGAGCAAGTTGCAGTGATGATGAACTAATGGTAACGAAGAGACCGACAGTAACCGGCAATGCAGTGATGATGAACCAATGGTAAGAAAGAGACCGATGTCAATCTGTCAACGTGCAACTATTAAGTTTATAAGCCCTTTTCTGCCTGCTGCGACGTTGATGAAGCCTTGCAAACTGCAATTCTCTCTTAAAAGCCCAAAATGTAGGGCAAGTATGGGTGACTCAGATGAGACATAAGTGTACAAAACAGGGTGCCTGTACATTTCAAGGTAAAAACACCTAGTTTTGTAGAATCGGAATATTCCTGCAAAATAAGCTTCTCCTTCGTCTCTCTCTCCCCACGCGGAGTCCCTCCCTCCCATCCAGCCAAATTCCTCATCTTGTCAATCTCACCCACAAAACCCTAACATCTATTTCAGCCTCGGCTTCTGTAGCTCGCGTTTCTCTGTTAGTAGTTTATGTCGCTCCTATCCGCTGGTTCTCCTCCAATCTAGCCTACCATATGTCAGCTAGATTTTCTTGGAATCTCATATCTTCTCTTGAATGCGTCCATTAGCATTAGGTCCGAGCTTGGGCTGACCGTTGTCTTTCACGCCTTGATCTCTTGTCTCCATCCCATAAGTCGGCGTTTGGTGCTCTAGAATACAAATCTATTCCCGTTAGTGGGCTGTTCCATTAAAAGCTCGCCAAGATGAGGATCATGATAAAGGGAGGGGTGTGGAAGAACACGGAGGATGAGATCTTGAAAGCGGCGGTGATGAAGTACGGCAAGAACCAGTGGTCGCGCATCTCGTCGCTGCTCGTGCGCAAGTCCGCGAAGCAGTGCAAGGCGCGGTGGTACGAGTGGCTGGATCCGAGCATTAAGAAGGTGCGCGCGTCAGTATACATTAAGTAGTCGTCGTCTGTGTGCGTGGACGTCGCTGTCCCGATTAGCGTTTACGCATTTTGAACGTCAGACTGATTACTTCGCACATAGTAGATGTGGTGATAATTACGGCTGTATTGCCCTGGTTCTTGATTGCTTTGCCGGATGCACTTTTCGGTCCATTCCACCATTCATTGCTGAATTTAGGAAATTCAGGCGAGCAACGTCATACAATTCTGCGCGAATGTCTACAGGATGCCGTTTAGCTGGCTTCCGGCCTCTCATATAGATTATTGCAGGAATCTTTATTCGTGTTTACCCGCCCTGGATGTTACCCCCGTTATTTTCCGGGTCAGCATGCTTTTAACGGGTCAAATCAATGTATCGTCAGCGCGTCGCGTGTACTCGCGTGGCGCTGTAGGTGCCGTGTGTGGTTTGATCGGTTCTACTTTCTTTCCTTCCTCGTGCCACCCAAGCGAATGATTCAGAGTTTGTTGGTTCCCCTTCTCACTCTCCCCCCTTTCTTTTCCTGTTTGTTTCCCTGCCTCACGTCTCCCGTCTTCACGTGGTCCCGCTTTCGTGTGCGTGTGCGTGTGCGCGTGTGAGTTTGCGCATGCGCCGTGCAGACGGAGTGGACGCGCGAGGAGGACGAGAAGCTGCTGCACCTGGCGAAGCTCATGCCCACGCAATGGCGCACCATCGCGCCCATCGTCGGCCGCACGCCCGCGCAGTGCCTCGAGCGCTACGAGAAGCTCCTCGACGCCGCCTGCTCGCGCGACGACTCCGCCGCCGCCGGCTACGACGCGTCCGACGACCCGCGCCGCCTGCGCCCCGGCGAAATCGACCCGAACCCCGAGGCGAAGCCGGCTCGGCCTGACCCCGTTGATATGGACGAAGATGAGAAGGAGATGCTTTCGGAGGCGCGCGCGCGCCTGGCGAACACGCGCGGAAAGAAGGCGAAGCGCAAGGCGCGGGAGAAGCAGCTGGAGGAGGCGCGGCGGCTGGCGTCGCTGCAGAAGCGGCGCGAGCTGAAGGCGGCGGGGCTGGAGGCGAATTACCGGCGGCGGAAGAACAAGGGGATCGACTATAACGCGGAAATTCCGTTCGAGAAGAAGCCGCCGCCCGGGTTCTTCGACACGAGCGGCGAGGAGGCGAACTCCGTGCAGCCGATGCGGTTCCCCGTGACGCAGGAGGAGCTGGAGGGCAAGCGGCGTGCGGACGTAGAAGCAGCGGCGCGCAAGCACGACGCGGCGGCGAACAAGATGCGGCTGCGCCACGACGCGCCCGCCAGCGTGCTGCAGGTCGCTGTGGGGGTGGGGGAGGGGGAGAGCAGGGGGGGAGAATGTATGAGGGGGTGCGAGGTGAAGCATGTGCGGGAGGGGCGAGGGCGTGAGGGTGATGGTTGGCGATGGTTATGAATTATGGTTCACAATCTTCTCGTCCTCCCCTTCTTCCTTTCCCCTCCGCGCTCCCGCCATGCTGTGTTTTCTTGCAATATTATTGTTCAAGTGCCCATTTCCGTAATCCTTCCTCTCTCGCTTCAACTCCATGGGCTTCTCCGCCTGTCGCTGCTCCTCCTCTCCTCTGCTTGCCCTTTTCGTCCTTTACATACTCCCGCGTTTTCCTGTCCTCTTTTCTAGTGCTCCTTCACTCCTGTCGCACGGATTTCTCCCCGTTCCTCCGCCCTCCCCCGTTCCCGTCCCCTCCTCCCCCCCTTCCCGCCCCACTTCTCTCTCCCATCCTCTCTCCCGTTCTCGCTTCTCTCTCGCCTCTTTTCACCTCTCTTTCCCTGTGCTCCCTTCCCCGCAACCCCCCCCACCCCTCCCCCCTTTCACCCTCCCGTTGCCCCACTCCCTGCGCGCATCCCCGCAGGTGAACCAGCTCAACGATCCGGCGGCGGTGCGCAAGCGCTCCAAGCTCTCGCTGCCCGCGCCGCAGATCTCGGACCAGGAGCTGGCGGCGATCGCCAAGATGACGCACGCCGCCGACGCGCTCGCCGCCAGCGAGGACGGCGACCCCGCGACGCGCGCGCTGCTCGCCAGCTACGGCCAGACGCCCGCGCACGCCGCCGCCGCCGCCGCGCTCACGCCGCTGCGCACGCCGCAGCGCACGCCCGGGGGCAAGGGCGACGCGATCATGATGGAGGCGGAGAACCTGGCGCGGCTGAGAGACACTCAGACGCCGCTGTTCGGCGGACAGAACCCTGACCTGCACCCCTCGGACTTCTCAGGTATCACTCCGCGGAAGAAGGAGGCGCACACGCCCAACCCGCTCGCCACGCCCTTCCGCACGCCCGGAACGGCCGTGGGGATGACCCCGGGCGGGCTGGCGCTGGCGGGGGCGGGCGCGCCGGGGAGCGTCCGCGGGGCGTCGGTAGGCGGAACGCCCGGGAAGGACTCGGTGTTTGGCGCGACGCCGTCGGAGGGGATGGTGACGCCGGGCGGGGAGAGCGTGCGCGCGGAGAAGCTGCGGCTGGCGGAGGTGCGCGAGAGCTTGCGCCAGGGGCTGGGGTCGCTCCCCGCGCCCAAGAACGAATACTCCATCGTCGTCCCGGACTTGCCCGAGGACGAGCGCGCGGAGGGCGCGCGGGGCGCAGGCGAAGACGGGGAGGATCAGGATATGGAACTGGATATGTCGGAGGTACAAGAGCGGCAGGAAGCCGCCAGGCGCGCGGAGGAGGAGGCGCGGCTGCGCAAGCGGTCGCAGGTGCTGCAGCGGGAGCTTCCGCGGCCGTCGGTCGCGGCTGTGAAGCGGGTGGTTGATGCGGCGGGGAAGGGGCGCGGAGGGGGAGGCGTGGGCGCGGGCGTGACGCTGATGGAGCGCGCGGAGGAGATGGTGCGCGCGGAGCTGGCGCTGCTGCTGCAGCACGACGCGGTGGCGTATCCGTTGCCGCCCGGGGCGGAGGGCACGGGAGGGGGCAAGGAGGGGAAGCGGAAGAAGGGCGGGAGGGGCGAGGACGGGAGTACAGCGGGGTTGGAAGCGGTGGAATTGGAGGACGTTGAGGAGGATCTCATGCAACAGGTGGGTCGCTCACTTGGGCTCGGCGCGCTGGGCATTTGTCAGGCGAGAAGTTCTTTTGAAATTAGAGGACTTGGGGAGGGTCTCATGCAACAGGTGCGGTGGTCGCGCGGCCTCAGTGCGCGCGCGAGAGAGATATTTCTGAGTGTTTTTGACGTCTCTCGCAAGGCTGGGCTCAGCGCGCTGGGCAGTGGGCAGGCGGATAGGGCTTGTGGAACGACGCTGCAGTGCTTCGTGATCAGGCCGCACGGCTATTGGAAGACGCTGCCTTTGTGTAGAATGAATTGGTGGGGGAGGGGAGAAGGGGTTGGGAGAAGCTAGCTTAATATTGGAAAAGGTGGATGCGAGCTCAAGCGTTTGCTCATTCGGAATTGATGAGGGCTGTGTGGATTAACGTTGACATGGAAATCGTGGGTGGGTGGCATGTTCGTCGTATGCCTGTGCGGTTAGAAGATGCACGGCAGGAGGTGGGATGATGAAGCGGGTTGCGTCAGTGCGGCGCTGTTTACTGTGTGCGCTATTGCCGCATTCCCAGACTGCTTAGCCGACCACTCATTCTGCAATGCTACTGCACCCTCACTGCCTCCATGTGCTCTCACCTCGCCCAACGCCCACTCCCTCCCCCATTTCCCGTCCCCTCTTCCTTCTCTTCCGCATCCCCTTCTCACTCGCGTCCCTCTCCCTCCCCCCAACCTTTCCCCTCACCCCTCCTTTACCCTCCCCACCCCCACCTACCCCTTCTTCCCCCCCCCCCCACCCCACCCCCCGCCCTCCCCCCATGCTCTTCCAAATCATTCCTGTGGCGCCAACAGGCGCGGGCGCTTCTGAGCGAGGAGGCGGGGTACGTGCGGATGGCGCTGGGGCAGGAGGACACGGGCGCGGACGAGTGGGGGGAGGCGTGGGAGGCGTGCGCGGACGACCTCGTCTACCTGCCCGCGCAGGCTGCCTGGGGGCTGGCGTCGCTGGCGGCGAGCGCGGATGTGGTGGCGGCGCTGCGCCCTGTGGCGGAGAGAGTGGGCAAGGCAGCGGAGAGCGAGGGGAAGAGGTGCAGCAAGCTGGAGCACAAGACCAAGGTCATGTCTCATGGATACCAGGTGCGTGGCGGAGGGGAGGGGAGGACGGACGGGGAGAGGCAGGGGGAGGGAGGGCGGGGTGGGAGGGGAGGGCGGTTGGGGAGGACGAGGGGGTGTGGACGGTGGGTGTGTGTGAGGTGGGGATGGAAGGGCGGAGTGGGGATGCATGGGGAGGGAAGGGGTTTGAGCTGCCTTGATGCGTAAGACCAGCTGCTGCTGTCTATAGCTTTGTTCCCCCCTGCACACCAGGGTTCAAAAAAACGACCGTTTTATTGAAATTTCACCGTAAAAAACGGTACCGTAAAAAACGGTCGTAAAAAACGGTTTAAAACGGTTCCAGGATGTGTTTCCTCTATAACTAACAAAACGGCCACTTATTGGGACCAAATTGAACCCGAAATGCAGCAGCATGAAGGGGATGGACCCCTTCTTGCATGTATGCGCTTGTTGGCATGATCGAAAATGTTTTTGACCTTGTTTTTTCTTGGTGAACAGAGATCTCTAACAAAAAAACGGCCGTTTTTTTGAAAAATCACCGTAAAAAACGACCGTAAAAAACGGACCGTATTTTACGAAAACCGTAATTTTGAACCTTGCTGCACACACCCTCACTCCCCCCGTTCCCCCTCAACCACCTTCCCATTTGCTTTACCACACGGGATTCATTCGCCATCTTAGCTTACAAACATCTGGCACCCATCAAATCCACTCTCAAGCAAACTCCTTCATCCCTCGTCACCTTCTCCCATCATCCGCCTTCCACCCTCCCTCCCGCTCCCGTGCGCTACTTCTCCCCCTTCCCCACCCCTCTTCCCCACCCCCCTTCCCCCTTGCTTACACTCCTGCAGAACCGTGCGGAGGCGCTGTGGAAGCAGGTGGAGGCAGCACACAGAGAGGCGGGTACTCTAGCAACGGAGCTGCAGTGCTTCCGTGCCCTGCACGCGCAGGAGGTGCTAGCGGCGCCCCGACGCATAGAGACTCTGCAGGGTGATGTGGCAGGCGTGACGGAGCGGGAAAGAGCGCTGCAGTTGCGGTATGAGAACCTGCTGGTGGAGAGACAGCACTGGCGCAAGGTGGTGGCGGAGGGGGAGCGGCGCAAGGCGGAGGCGGAAGCTGCTGCTGCTGCTGCTGCTGCGGCAGAGGCTGAAGCGAAGGCTAAGGTTAAGGCAGAAGCTGCTGCGAAAGAAGCAGCTGCTGCTGCAGCAGCAGAGAGAGAGAAGGAGAGGAAGTTGGAAGAGGAGAAGGAGAAGGAGAAGGAGAAGGAGAAGGAGAAGGAGAAGGAGAAGGAGAAGGAGAAGGAGAAGGAGAAGGAGAAGGAGAAGGAAGGGGAGAAGGAGAAGGAAGGGGAGAAGGAGAAGGAAGAGGAGAAGGAGAAGGAAGGGGAGAAGGAGAAGGGGGAGGATGCAATGGATGGGGTGGAGGGAGAGAAGGAGAAGGAGAAGGATGGTTCATGTGATGGTGATGGTAAGGGAATGGAGGAAATGGCTTCTGAGGCAAGAGAGGGTGCAGGTGAGGAGGATGGGAGACCTGGGGAAGGCGAGGAGCAGGGGCAAGGGGCGAACGCAGAGGGAAGCAGAGCAACAGAAGCAGAGGCGGAAGCAAAGGAGGAGGAGAGGAAGGCAAAGGAGAAAGAGGGGAAGGTGAAGCAGGAGGAGAGTGAGGCAATGGAAGTGGAGGGAAAGGTCAAGGAGGAGGGGGAAGGTGCTGCATGAAAGGAGCATTGTGGGGGGAAGGGCAGGGAAGGGAATGGAGATGCCTGCAAGCAGGAGGACTGCTGCCCTGGGTGTACCAGAGGTTAGGCTGATAAGTGTTTTGATTTGGGACTGGATACTTGAGTGCAGAGCAGTGTGTTGGTGGCGTGATCCGATTACAAGGGTTGACAGGAGACCTACTACATGTATTGATGTAACAGGACAGGTGGGGCTTGGGCATTGGCAGGGAGGAACGGTTCGCAAGCAGGCCTGCAGCTGCAAGCGGCTCACACAATCGCAATGGGCGAGGAAGCAGAGGCCATCTGCGAGCGGGGATGTCGGAACAGGGTGGTTCATTATGGTTAGTGTTGGTGAGCTTGCAGGAGCAGCGCTACAACAGTCCTAAGCACGCCACTGTTCTCTTCTCGCACACTGCAGTAGTGGCAGCAATGTGGAGTGGATGCTGGCTGGTCGTACTATCTGCTGCTGAGCGGAGCCCCGTTCTGCTGCCGCTTACGTACACACAGTGGACCATAGACACTGCTCAGGCTGCAACGGTAGGACTTATTGCTCCGTGCTTCACAGGGCGGGACGTGACTGTTGCAACTAGGATCCACTACATGAAAAACATACTGTTACAGTTGGTAAGGACGCAGGGCTGTGTTGGCAGCGCTGATTGTGCGAGTGGCAGTCCTGTTGCCACCACAAAGGGCACTGAAATGGAAGGTACTGGTAAATGTAAGGTACCTTATATGTCTCAAATAATCAGCAACAGAAATGGACAAATGTTCTGAACCGGTACCGTAATTGTGGTACTGGCCCACCATGACATGCTAGCTTTCTCTTCTATGCTGTCATACCTTCGTTTTGTGCACCAGACAGAATGTCAGAATGTTGTATTTGTCTAGCCTGCAGTGGGGTACTCTATAGCGAGTACAGCCCAATTTAGGGTTTCCTATATGTACTCAACTGCTTGCTAGTGCAACCCCTCTTCTCCTGTTCATTCTCGTTCCTTACTTTGTAACATGGTTTCAGAGCAGGTCGACCCTCCCTGGTCGATCCTGTGGATGGGCCCACCCAATGCTTCCGCTGCTGTACTGCCTGTCGCTCGCCCCGGGCGCGCGACGTTTTCTGCTTGCCGCGCGCTCGTCGCGTGCGGCGGTTTTTTCTTCCCGCCGGGGTCCCGAGCGCGCGGCGGTTTTCTGCCCGTCGTGGCTCTGCCCTGCCCGTCGCGCCGCCCTGCTGGCCGCGCGACGTCCTGCCCTGCCCGTCGCGCGCCCCGTGGCATGCGGCGGTTTTCTGCCCGCCGCGCGCCCCGAGCGCGCGGCGGTTTTCTGCCTCCCGCGTCACCCCGGGGACCCGCACGTCCCTCCTCGTCGACCGTCGCGCCGCCCCCGGAGTACCGCGCGTCCCCCCCGTCGATCGTCGCGTCGCCCCTGGGGACCCGCGCGCGCCCCCCGCGATCCCGTTGCGCCGCTCCCGTGGACCCGCGCGTCGCCCTGCGGCCCCCCTCCCCGCACACCTGAGTTCGCTTACTGCACACCCGAGTTCGCTTCCCGCGCGCTTGTGCACGCTTCACGCACACCTGAGCTCGCCTACCGCACACTCAGGGTATGGGGGTGGCGGGTGTGTGAGCCGTCCCCTGCTCCTCCTCCTCCTCCGTCTCCCACTACTGCAGCTGCCGCTGAGGGGGGTGGATGTGTTGGAGCCGTCGGAGTGGTACGAGGGGGGTGGCGTGTGAGCAGTGCTAGAGGTACAGCAAGGGGTGTGTGAAAGGGGGGTGGGACAGTTGGGGGAGGTTGAGCGGAGGCTGCCGTCTTGTCGTCCGCAGCACCTGGAGTCCGGGGCTCTGCCGCTGGTAGCCCAGAGAGCCTGCTGCGCCTGTCGCCCGTGAGTCCGTTGCTCCTGCTGCTCCTCGTAGCCGCCGAGCCAGTTACTCCAGTAGTCCGGGGCGCTATCCCGGTAGCCACTGTGCCAGCCGCTCCTGTCGCCCGTGTGTCTGCAGCTTCAGCCGTCGCCTCCCATCTTCTCGCCCCTACAGTCCCTCCTCCTCCTCACTAGCCCTCTGTGATAGCCTCTAGCTTTGCTTATATTTGTGAACTATAAACTCCTGCTTGTTGTGCTGATTACACCCCACTTTGGCTATGGGGGTGTGTCAGAATGTTGTATTTTTCTAGCCTGCAGTGGGGTGTCAAAACATATTGTTATGTTCTTACTCTAGGTTGTGTAGGGTCACACCTTAGAGGGTACAACCCAACTCTCTCGACATCCTTGTACCCCCTCCCTCTTACCTAATCCACACTCATTCCTCACCTAGCTAGTGATTCTAACATGGTATTAAGAGCACAATGCTCCTTAGGACCGAATTTTTAAAAGGGCCCACCACTACTATTTAGATCTACTGCCCGAGACGCGCCCCTAGGAGAAACGCGAAATTCGAAACCGTGCTCTAGGCGAGACGGTTCCTTTTTCTGCCCTAGACGCGATTTTCCTTCCTAGTCACGTGCGACCCCCCCTGACCGCGCCCTAGCTGCCAGTACAGCCCGCGTAGGCCCGTCGCGAAGCCCGTACAGCTCGCGTAGGCCCGTCGCGAAGCTCGTACAGCCTGCGTAGGCCCGTCGCGAAGCCCGTACAGCCCGCGCCAGGCCGTCGCGCAGCCCGTACAGCCCTCGTCAGGCCCGCACCCAGCTCGTAAAGCACGCGCTAGGCCCGCACGCAGCCCTTACAGCCCGCGCCTGGCCCGCACGCGGCCCGTGTTCCTGCTGCACTCGCTGCTGCTGCTACTTGCTGCAGCTGCTCCTCCTTGCTACTGCTACTACAGCTAGCGCTACTCACTGCTGTTGCTACTGACGCTACTCCTGTTACAGCTAGCGCTACTCACTGCTGCTGCTACTGAAGCTAGTGCTGCTACAGCTAGTGCTACTGCTGCTGCTGCTACTACGGCCCTTGCTACAGCTGCTACTGACTGAAGCTACGGCTGCTCCAGCTAGTGCTACTGCTGCAGCTCCTACTCCAGCACTTGCTACAGCTAGTGCTACTGCTGCAGCTCCTACTCCAGCACTTGCTACAGCTAGTGCTACTGCTGCAGCTCCTACTCCAGCACTTGCTACAGCTACTATTGACTGAAGCTACTCAAGCTACAGCTAGTGCTACTGCTGCAGCTCCTACTCCAGCACTTACTGCAGCTGCTCCTGACTGAAGCTACTGCTGCTACAGCTAGTACTACTGCTGCAGCTCCTACTACTTCACTTGCTACAGCTAGTGCTACTGCTGCAGCTCCTACTCCAGCACTTGCTACAGCTGCTCCTGACTGAAACTACTGCTGCTTGACTGAAGCTACTGCTGCTACAGCTAGTACTACTGCTGCAGCTCCTACTACTTCACTTGCTACAGCTAGTGCTACTGCTGCAGCTCCTACTACTGCACTTGCTACAGCTAGTGCTACTGCTGCTCTGCCACTCTGTCCGAGCCGCGCTGCCCAGCCCGAGCTGTCACTGCTGCTGCTACTGCAACTACTACTGCTACAGCTAGTGCTACTCGGTCTACTGCTGCTGCTGCCCGAGCCGCCCTGCTACTGCTGCTACTGGAGGGAGTACTGCTGGGAGTGGTGGAGGTGCGGCCTCCCACCCCCACCGAACCGCCCTGCTGCTGTTACTACTGCTGCTGCTGCTACTTGTGCTACTGGAAGTGGAGGAGGTGCTGCTGGGAGTGTAGGAGGTGCTGCTGGCGCTGTAGGAGCTGGAGGTGCTGGACCTACTCCTGACAGTCACTGTCTGTCATGGCCACTTTCGCGGCAGTCGCTGCGGCCAGGGGTGGACAGTAGCGGGCACTGCTTCTCCCGGACGACCCCACCCCTCGGCAGCTTCGTGAGTGGGTTATTCAGCGAGGTCGTCCTGGTGGTGGAGGTTATCGTTCTGTTAAGACCGCTGCTCTTGGTGTTAGTGAGTCTGCTGCCACTCCAGGTGTTAGTCAGTCTGCTGCCATTCCAGGTGTTAGTGAGTCTGCTGCCACTCCAGGTGCTAGTGAGTCTGCTGCAGCTCTAGGTGCCCGTGAGTCTACCAACGCTCTAGTTGCTAGTGCGTCTACTACCACAGGTCCTGCCTCAGCTGAGGACTTGCACACTTTCACGCTTGACTCCGGCGCGTCACGTTGCTTCTTCCGTGATTGCACCACAGTCACACCACTCACACCACCTGTCCCAGGATCAGCTGACCCCTCTCGACCTCCCCACGTCCCCACGTTCTCGACGAACTTGGTGAGCAACGCTGCCATTCAGGATGTCTGGGTTGATACCTTTATTCCTGGAGGGCAGCGTGTGGCAATCTGTACGTGCTCCTGGACTGGCCGTCACCTGGCTACGTTCACTCGGCAGCCTGGGTCCAGTCTGTACACACTGACCACTGCGTCTGCACAGGTGGCTGAGTCAGGTCAGGTAGCTACGTCGAGTCGAGCGTCTGCGTCAGGGCAGTTAGCTGCGTCTTGCTCGTGCCAAGTACTCACGCACGAGACTCAGCGCTGGCACCACCGTCTTGGTCACCCCTCCCTGCAGCGTCTGCACCGCATGCACTCCCGGCTCCTGGTCACTGGCCTCCCTGAGACCCTGCCCCCCCTCCCGCGCTCACTTGCGCCGCCGTGCCTTCCTTGCGTCGAGGGGCGGCAGCGCGCCGCTCCTCACTCCTCCGAGTTTCCTCCGACCACTGCTCCTCTGCAGACTCTCCACATGGACGTGTGGGGCCCGGCCCCCGTCGGTGGAACGGACCAGGAGCGCTACTTCCTGCTAGTGGTTGACGACTACACACGCTACACCACAGTCTTCCCCTTGCGGCGCAAGGCAGATGTCAGTGGTGTCTTGATCCCCTGGATCCGTGCTACTCGTCACCAGCTGCGCGAGCGGTTTCGGCGGGACTTTCCAGTCCTGCGTCTGCACTCTGACAGGGGTGGTGAGTTCTCCTCTGGCGTCCTTGAGACGTTCTGCGAGGATGAGGGCATCGCCCAGTCGTTCACGCTTCCGGCCTCTCCGC